GGCAACACTGCGCCCCCCCCTCGCGGCGTGGCTCCGCCCCAGGGCGTGCGGCGTCACGGCGAATCAAACCGCGCGATATCAAACCGATATTTCAGTTATTACGCTCCGCCCGTTTCGCTTGTATTGTTTTTATTCCAAGCTATAAAATAATCGCGTCGTTAATCGCGTATAGCGTTGCGATTTTTACTTATAACAGTTATCGTCGTTGAATATATGTGCATTGAAATATTAATTCATATTAATAAAGACTTCATTACTTATTGATTTTAAAATGTAATAATGTAAAAGTAAATAATCAAATATGTAGTATTATATATATTAAAATATGTTAAGTTTTATGTTTTGTTAAATCATGTTTAGTTTGTTAATTTGAATAATATCGCAAATCAACAACGATTATAAGATTTTGTTTGTTTTTTTTTTTTGAAAAATACAAAGATGTGAACCAAAGTTTTTTTACTTATCTTCGAGTACCTAAATACTTAATATTCATTTGTAATATAAGCTATATTATATAGATGAATGAATTTTCTGCATTTTCCAAATGTTTTTACGAATAGGTCAGAATCGTACTTCAATTTTAAACAAATGAAACTCGCAGCTGCTCTAATTATATTAGGATAACAAAATAGTTACTACTCAAAAATCACAACATTAAAATAATACTTTTATAGACTATTCCAACAATCTTATCACCAAACAGTTTTATAATCTATCTACAAAATCCTATAGATTTACTACACAAAGTCTTGTAACGCACGTCGTTATTGTCCGATAGAGTGACCTACGATAATACTATAATGCTGTAAGTATTACGCAAAGCAAGAACTTACATGTCGTCACCTTACCTAAGCCGATATAGCATGGATCTGGTTACAAAAACGGTTACAGCATCAATTTCTGCTCACCCAATTTATAACTACAAAGATGCTTACAAACGTATGATCTACAAATTTATGAGCCTTTACCACCAAATTGTAAATTGTCTAATAACAATCTAACGTATAAAATATGTGATGGAAATATCGGATTTTGTTACCTTATTAGTGACGCTATTTTTAAGCTATCTGAGCCTCTATCAGCCAGTGATGGGACGGGCCCTTAATATTTAATAATTATGTCCATTAAACTTAGAATCTGGTAGACACCAATTGTTAGTAGGCTCTTTGAGATTGTTTTTGGATGGATATTTGTTAGTTTGTAGCCTAAACGATTGAACGGATTTCGATTAAATTTAGTACACATATAGAGGATAGTATGGAAGATAACATACACTTTTGTTTTTTTTTTTCAAGCGGACTAAGTCTCGGGCTAAAGATAGCGATAAAATAAAGGGAAAGTTCAGAAACTCAGCATTATACGAACGTGAAATAACAGAGTTTCTGGTTGTTTTATAAAATTGTCGTTTCCAGTCTACAACTGGCTCTATGGCTATATAATCAAAATGCTTAAGGTATTTCAGGCCCGCGCAATAAGGATGGAATGACAGCTGCAAGTTCATGTAAATAACACGAAGTTTTAAACCGGAGAACCTTAGCTTAGTTATTCTTAACTGAGGTTTAATCTACGTAGGTTAGGTTATGAAATTCAAACACGATTTCATTGTAATTCCAATTTCAGACAATATGTTTCGATAAAAGTGCGACAGTATGGCGTAGATGCTAGCACATATATGTACCATATATATGGTAACCGAAACACAGAGGTGGTCAACGACGCCCAAGGTCATCTGCAATGCAACCAATGTATTATGACAACAGTCCCCTACATTAGATTTTCCATAACAAATCTACGGGGTTTGTCGTCGGACTATGAGTGCGACAGTAAAACTTAGGGAGTGAATTAAACAAACAATTTGTGTCTGCTGTGTTAAGATAGATAGATTTAATGTAAAACGTTTGCTAAAGTATATAATGTAGAAGACAGATCGTTGCGGGGTTGGTGCGGGGCGGCGGTAGGGGGCGCTAGGTTCAGACAGCAACAATTAATGCGGCCGGCAGATCAATCGCTTGTCGAACGTAGCACACCGGACATGCTTGCGCTCCAATACAAGACAAAAGCGATATAAACATAGAATTTAATACTTTTATATAGATCATAATTTGACTTGATTCGTTAGTGATCATTTTTATCGTATACTAGCTTTTGCCCACGACTCCGGCCACGTAGAATTAAAAAAAAGTGACTAGCCTATGTGTTCTTCCAGACTATCCTCTACGTCTATGCCAAATTTCATCGAGTTCCGGTCAACCGTTTAGGCTACAAACTCTTACAAACATCCATCTTACCTTTCACATTTATAATATTAGTAAGATTTATTATACCTTCAGTAACTTTTGTAAATAAAAAAATACTTTCTTCTTAAATAGTATTAAAATTGAATTGCGATTCTTTGTAAAATGTTCGCTATTTCGTTACAACTTTTATTATAGTTTTTATTTTTAAATATATTTCTTTATCTATAGATATGTAAATACCAACTCAATATTAACAATTACAGAAAAATAACGCGGGCAACTAATAACTTGGGCCACGCTACTCTGTAATCGCTCCGGGCTGATTGATGAAGCCCCCCTCCTCTGACCGCCGCCCGCCCTCAGGCCCCGTGCCCGCCCGCCGCCGTTTACACCAAGTGATACATTACTATGAGATCTATTACCGTCACTACATTACTGCTTCTATAGTTTTATTTTAAACATTAAGTAATGCGAATTTATACATAAGTACATATTCAGTGTAATAATACTCGACTTTTTAAACAGGATAGGAAAAAGTGATCGAGAAAATAGTGTTTGGCCGTGTTCGCCACGTCGGGTGCATTGCCGCGCACCCAGATATTCTCATTTTTCACTTCCCGTCCAATATCGTCCCAATATCAATAAAAAAATAGTTTCTCATTCTAAATTAAAACTAAATTAAAATAAAAGTACAGATTATAGGGCAATTAGTTTAAGAAAAATTAGAACAAACGCTTGCGAATGTCTACAAAATAACTACTAGTCTACAGATGGCGCGAGTGTTTGATAATTATCAAGATGTTTAATTTTGTCATAAGATGGCGCTTAAAACCAATTATTCCAAAACCGCAGTTTACTAGAAAAACTTTTTTAGAACTGTACTTTTTGTAAGTTTTCTGCTATTTTTTTACATTTAACTATATCAAGACAAACATTTTGTGTAATTAGTACTGATTTGTAATTTATGATTATTTTGTTTTCTGACATATACGTACAATAAAAATAGCTACAATTATCTATTTAAAGTGAACTTTTCCAAATGATTAATGTACGAAGTATAGAGACGAAGTGCAAAAACAATCATCAAGTACGCATCGCAGGGTATCGACATTCCTCACGCCCCAACCCTCGGGACAATGATAAATTAACAATATTATTGAGCAGCGAGACTCAGCGAGAAAATTAAATTAGTCAAACACCTCCTTTATTACTGCCTAACAATTTGCCATGTTAAATTATAGAAAGTTTGTCAGAGCTCTTTGACATTTTTACACATGTCTCGCGGTTTGTCTTTTGCTAACGACTGATGGAATTATTGTTCACTAACTTTCGCCCGCGACTCTGTCCGCGTGGGATTTAAAAAAAAAGTGAGTAGCTTATGTGACCTTCCCTACTATCCCCTACATCTATTACAAATATCATCGAAATTCGTTCAGCCGTTTAGGCTACAAACTCTAAAAAACATCCATGTAAACTTTTGCATTTATAACATTAGTATGATTATTTATTCTTTGGCAGAGAACTCATTTCTCTATAAGTGAGTGTTCCCAGAAGTAATCAAATTTCCCAAATTAAATGGTGTTTTATTGTATGATGGCTGTTAACTATAGCACCATGTAAAAAGTCTTGCAAAATAGTATAATACCTAAACTGAAAAAATTACAGAATTTTTTCCTTTTCCGAAGCCTAAAAGAGAACTCTTTGTGGATTGATATTTGTCTGTTTTTGATTTAAAAACCATTTAATTTGTATTTCGTCATCTTTCATATAGATTAATAAAAGCTTGTAAGTTAGTCCCATATTTATAACATGGAGGTAACCCTAGATGTTATTGCTTTTTGTGGCATTTCACATTTGCTGAACATTAATGCACGGTCGCGGTTTGCCTGTTCCATTGCGACTATGTTTAACTGCTTCTCAGTAATGCGACCTGTGAAGGTGCAAATAAACAATTTTTTACGAACCCATTTGACATATATTTTTCATTTTTTTAACTAAACAACATGACACTGTCCTACAATTTACACAACTTATATTAATGGCGGTAAGAGTAAAAAAGAAATTGTTGGGTTACTGCTAGTTTATCCTGAAGTGATATATAATCTTCTTTTAAAAAATTAGTAACTAATAATAATTTGATGCATCCTATATCTATAATAATACTACTAATATTATAAAGTGGAAAACTTTGTTTGAATGTAGTGAAATTACGCAAAGACTACTGGGGCGATTTTGAAAATCGCCATTAAAAAGCTACGTTGTCAATGAGTAACATAGGCAATGTTTTAATTATTTTTTTTAATTTCACCCGGATGCAGTAGCGGGTGAAAGTAAATATTGTTATAAATTTAATTTACTTATAACAATGAAAGAGCGTCGGTGGAGCAGTTGTTATGTGACTGACCCAGACCGGAATCTTATGCATACGTTCAGGTGCAGTCCCCAATATAAATGTCGTTTTGATTTTTCGTATTTTATATGTACATTCATCCAACGTTCTAACAATGTAGGAAACATCGCAATGCAACCTGCTCATCTCGGCGAAAAAGTTTAAATATAGCAGCGGAGCAGCGTAGTTAACTATGACTTAGTCATTCATATGACTTAGGCTCCGAGACTATCAATGGAGACGGAGACTTAGTTATAGTGTGAAGATGATGAATAAAACAAGCGAATAAAAAATATTACAACATCGTTTATTACAATTTATACATTTTAAGTGATGTTTTCATTACATTATCTAATTCGTTTTCGAATCAATACCCGTTGCTGGCCAACATCGGGTTTAAAAATAAATGCTATTCATGATTCGATCGTTGCATCGATTTTACATCGAAGTCTCGTAGAACGGGATTATTTTAAGGGGATGTGACGATGGGTACAGTTTGTTCTCTTGGCTGTTCCGTTTTGGGGGGTTCGGGTTGCTTGGCTGGGCCAGTTTTTGTGATGGGTACGATTCTTTCCCCGCTGTTCGGTGGGGGACGTTTAGGGGCGGCGATAGTGAGCACTCCGTCTGAGGAGAGCGTGCTGACGATGTCCGCGGTGTCGTACCCTGTAGGTAGGATGTACCGACGTGTGAACTGACGAGACACGAAGCCGTGTTCGTCCTGCTTTTCCTCGTGCTTCCCTTCGACCACTACGCAGTTGTTCGTCGCTTTTACGGTGATCTCCTCTGGTGCGAATTGTTGCACATCTAAGATGACCTGGAAAAAAATACATTAATTTTAATTGTGGCTAGTAAATCAACTGCAAATTATTTTTAATTTCATTCCTTATTTGCCAGTTACGAATAAATAAGCTATGTTTTCAAACGACAATACTCTTGCTACATTGGCTATTTAGAACCCTCATATTTCTTGGATTTGTAATAAAATAATAATAATACATACTTCGAATTTCTCCTTAGTCATGTTAATGGTGGAAGCGGACTCCTGCCTGGCGAGGTTAGTCCTCCAGGGTCTGAAGTAGGAGTTCCTGAAAAGGGAACTGGAGGGAAGCGAGGAGAGGGAAGACAGTAGGTCGTCCTTGCGGAGGCCCATACCGAAGTGCTGGTCAAGAAGACGGGAGGGGCGCTCCCAGTCATCCCACCAGTCGCGGAACATCATCGGAACTATCGACATCTGGAAATAAAAACAGGTAAATTACAATAACAGTCACCATATCAAATCAAAGCTATTTCAAATTCCATTTACTAACACTTTCAATTTTGGGTATTTAGAGAGTTACTAAAATCATAATTAAATTCCTTCACTAATGATAATAATAACATAATAAATAATAAGGTATATACATATCAAAATAAGAATCGTAAATGTCTACAATAATCGTAATCGTAAACAATTTTGATTATCTACAAGAAACTAGAACTGTTCATAAAATGATCAAAATAACTTTTGCATCAACGCTACAAATAGCGAGGTAAACAAAACATGATGTAGGTATCTGAAATAGTTAGTATTTTTAGATTTTATTGTTCATTGCCAATAAATTATTGTATAGCAGTTCGATAACCTTAATTCATTTGATCGCAAGTAACCGATGCCAGGGAGATGTTTTTTATTCTATAAACAAGAATGTAAAATGTAATGGTGTTTCAAAATTTTGGTGAGTTCTTATTATCTCATAACATATAATGAATTCGATTGCATCTGTTTTAATTAAACGAATAAATGAGGAAGTTTTGCAATATATGGCAACATTGAACTATTGCAGGGACAATCCTCGGACCAATATGTAAAAAGTAATGAAATCGCGGAAAATCTATCGTTGTCGATAAACAATGCAGATTTACATTGCAAGATTTGATAGGTTAAATGTTTGACGAAGTTTCAGAAATCAATAAACAAGATTGTAAATGCGAGAATAGTTCTGGAACTATTCCACGTATGATTCACCTGGAGCATTTTTAGATCTGATGCAACGACACACAATCATTTATTATATGCCAAGAATGATGAATTCAATGTCTACCGTGTAAGTCTGTAACGATAAATTGTACGACTTATTTTGGGAAACGTGTCATAACATTAACACAGCCTTTTGTGTCCATTTTTAATCAACTAATATTGCAGAAGAATTTAGGCATCGAGAATAATAACAATGAAATTATAATGAATTTACGTTTAAATAACAATTTTTATTCCAATTAAAAAATGCGACAAACAAAAACATTGCGACAAAAGTCACATCTCTCTACAAATTCAAACACCACCAAGCTCATTTACCAAACTTTTTATAAGCATAAATCACATTTTATCAATGTTTTTATTTCCCTTTTTTATGTTATAAAAAATTAAAGTAATGCAGAAAAAATAATAGAATAAAAGTGTTACCTTTGCGTTGATATTATTTCGTTGCAGGCGCGCGCTGCTCTGTGCTCGAGAGACTACGGCGGGAACAGCTATGAGTTGATTTAAATAGAATTTTCAGCGGCCCACACCGTGTGACTCAGCGGGAAAGCACCTTGAACTACAAACTACATCATTCCCGACTTCAGTAGGATTGATCTGGCTTACAGATATTAAAACGAGATTAATCAATCGATATTAAACTCTAAATCTTGTAAGAAAGTGAGTTAATAACCAGTCCTTTTATTCATATAACCATTTAAAAAGAAACCGATCAATTTAAAACCAATAGTTCACTCCTAGTTTGGTTAAGATAATGGAATAGGATAAGGAATTATGGAATTATGTTTCCAAGGCTTAATATTTCTATACAGAAAAAAATTATATGCACTTAGTACAAAACTATTGGCATGCAGCTTTCAAACAGTCCCAGTCGTTGCCGTTGAAATTATGTTTTAACGTCCGACTCGAAGGACCAGTTACTTCATCTCCGTCTCCGCCTCATGAGGTAGGGTAGTATCTTGTAAGTATCTGCTTATAATATGTACTAGAGAACATTTATGTCATAAGTAAGTAAAAACTATTTCCAAAATTTATTGTCACTTTAATACGTGATGCGTGAAGAGTAATCGAGAAAACGTAACACGTAATAAAACGTAGGTGTGATTCCAAAACAATTGTCATACCGAATTTAGTACATTTGTGAAGGTGATGAAGCAGACTATTTTAATTTTTTTCGAAACATCAGTAGGTTGTTTCATACGTCATAACTAAATGTCCACATGATGAATGAATTTCATTTACTAAAATAGATTTAAAACACGTACGCTCTCTTGAACTTGACAATAAATGAACTTCGCGGTTATTAATAGAAAAATACAAGGTTAATACGTTTTATACTTTACTTTTTAAAGTACAATTAGTTGAAGTTTTATGGGGATCTTTCATTAATTATATGAATATTTCTTGAGAGATGAAGTAAAGAAGTGTATAAATGTTTTTGTAATAAACTCAACTCAACACTTGTTACGCCCGAAAAACTTTAGTTCACAGATAAAATATTAAAAATGTCACTGAAATGTCAATGCCAAAAAACGTCAATAAGATTTATTGAAATCCACCTTTGATATCTAAATCTACAAAAAGTTGATAAGAAAGGAATGCCGGAATGTTGTTATTTTTCATTTTCAGAAACCGGGGTGCGTTTGTGGTTATTCGTTACATGATATTAGTTGTTATCTTATATTTATTATTTTAGTTTTCAATTAAGTTATCAACTCTTGTAGCGTAGTACTTTATCACCGGCCACACTGTATTTTGAAACGCGATTGAAATACTAACCTTCATTAATTGCTATGCAATATCTGGTGGAAGTGATTGCGTACATGTGGTATGAACCGTATTCGTGTTAATACGAATATCAGTGAATGCATATAGTGAACGTTATCTTTTGCTAAAGACTTTACTTTCGCCGGTTTCTTTAATCAGTCGTGATGTTGTCTTGGCTGCAACACCGATGGACTGGCCTATGGTTGCTGATGCTGGCTCTGGGTGCCCTGACACTATTTTTATATGGATTCTTTCCATTAAAATATCACTCAGGAAAGTTTGCTCATATGGATGATTTACCTAATTTTATAGATGGTATTGGGTTAGTATTCTTTTACTTAATCTTTTAAATTACTCAAAGATTATCAGGTTATACAATTTTTACCACAGTTGATATTGACACTCTTGAATACCACGATGAAAATTTATTTATCCTCCATAGAAAACATGTGCAGTACATGTAATACATATAAAAAAATCTACCTTCCTTGTTTCAGTATTGACGGTCAAGAAGTATACAATGCTGGTGAACATAGTGTGGTACTTATGGTAATAGATGGCTTGAGATATGATTTTGCCACGGAGGAATATATGCCCTTTGTGGGAGAACTTTTAAAGAACAAATCAGCCTGTATCTATGTATCTGTTGCTGAACCACCCACAGTCACTATGCCTAGGATTAAGGTTAGTTAATGCTTTCATTTTTTTTAAATAAAACACATTTACAGATTATTTAATACAGCAATGTTTTATGTTTTAAATAATTACATGCATCTTGTTTGTGGATATTTTTTTGATGTAATGAGTTATCATTCTTTAGACAATAATTTAAAAATCTATTTAGACTATAAATTAATTAAAAAACATGTGTAATTTCATTTATAGTGATCATTTGATATCAAGTACATAAATAATTTTCAGTAAATGCAAAAAAACTGCCCATACTAATTGGATTTAGTTAAGTTAATTTTAAAATTTCTACTCACAATGCCAAAGAAAATTGGATTTTACTTTTTTAAGTTATAATTTCTATTCAAATACAACATATGTACATCATGTTACTTATGTACAGTCACCCGAGAGGAAAAAGGAGAAAGCACAATGGAGACGCACCATTAACTTCTGGAGAGATATATTTGCAAGTGTCACTTTATTAAATATTCGCTTTAGACTTATGTAGGGTTGTAATAAAAGCCTAAAAAAACATACAGACGAATTGAGTACCTCCTTCTTTTGGGAAGTCGGTCAAAAAGATATACATTGATTTATTAAAACTTACATACATTATACTAATGTAATTAAAAATACACATCTTAACTCACCTGTACTTTGATGTAGTTATGTCTGAAAGTAATCTGTACCTACATTGAAGTATACATAGTTAAGCTGTCATTTTTAATGTTTTAAACATAGTAAATTCTTATTATTTACTGATATGTAGGAAAGGAATGGATTAAGCTAGCAGCATCAGTATATATGATATGAGTGCCTTCAAGAGAAGGGTGAATAGATACTTATTTAAATCCTTGTTACCCTTTGACCACATCCCCACTTTCTTCTAGTGGGATTATGGTCAAGCACTAATTTAAACATTATAAAAAAGTTTGAATTCATATTAACAAAATTACAAACACTTGTAAAATAAATCAAATATTCATACAACATCCATTTTGTTAATTTATTTGAGTAATAATTTAAAAATATATTACAGCTTTATTACAACCTTACATTATCATTAGCCAAAGAAAAAACATTGCACATTTGAAGAACTTATTGGAAAATTACCAATTAAATATTAAAACTTGGAAAAAGACTGTTTTTTCTTTGGTATTGTGAGCAATAATTGTTGCATGAATTAATTTTGTTGTTGCTTGTAGGCTTGTATATGTTTTTGTAATTTATTTGCTTTGTAAATATTATATACGAGTAGTACTGCTTCATTAGTGCATGTTATGATATTTATTAATAGATTTTTTGTGTCTAGTATATTATAGTTAATAATAAAAGTATTACCATGACATTTTAAAGAATATTAGGTGTCATTTGATTTGTTTTTTTAAAGTAAAATAGGCAATGTAACAATTAAAAAAAAATTGTTTAAAATTAGACATTAAATAGATATTCAGTTAATCAGGAAAAGTTAGAAAACCGTCACGCCCCTCCGCATGTTCTGTTATTACTCAACATAAACGTAATTAAATGCAAATAATCACAACATTGTATTAGATTATAATCAGTCTTTATTTCTAACTGATTAAGGTTTATATTCCATTGAAGAAATTATTTACATTGATTTCCGACATTTTTATGGCATTAAATTTCTCTAGTTACACGCCAATAGTACTCATAATTCAGCAATTTTAAATTAATGTTAACTTAGTGTTAATTTCTAACACTGTTAAAAAGGTAATTTGTAGAATCATTGCATTGATTGTTTTCTTAGGGCCCATACACACAGAACGGACTGTAGAGAGGAGCACAGTTTTATTTAAACAATTTATTAATTTTAGTACAAACAAAATTGAACATACACTTGCTGTTTTTAAGTAAAATTAAACCTATTAATTGTTAAAAGCTTATATCATCGCAATATGACAATTTAAAACTGCATGTACTTTTGTTACTTAGCACTGTTTGTTTTTGTAACTGTAGACATGTAAATTTACTGTCTTCCTAAATTGGTATGAGCCTTCGTGTATATTTCCTCAGGCTATGATGACAGGGAGTATTTCAACGTTCGCGGACGTAGCACTGAACTTCGGTGCGCCCGCTGTCCGTGGGGACAGCGTGCTGCGTGTGGCGGCCTCGCGCGGTAGACACTCCGTTATGTATGGAGATGATACCTGGCTTAGGCTTTTCCCTGGATTATGGGCGGAACATGATGGGACATCTTCTTTCTATGTCACGGATTATACAGAAGTAAGCAGAATTTATTAAAGCATATACCTAAAAACAAATTAAAGTGCATTGGCATTAACAAACTATATATAAACTAGTCAAGTACAATACTATATAATATAACTAATATTATAAATGCGAAAGTTTAGATGGATGGATGGATGTTTGTTAGCGTTTGTAGCCTAAACGGCTGAACGGATCTCCATGAAATTTGGCACAGGTTTAGAGCATAATCTGTAAGAACACATAGGCTACTTTTTATCCCGGGATAAGTTACGGTTCCCGTCGGATTCATTAATTTAGTTTTTTAATGTTTACTCGATCATTCTGCAACGGTTCAACATATCTTATTGAAATTTGGCACAGATGTAAAACAA